TCTAGAATATTCGTATAAATAAAAACATATTTCTCATTTATGCATATCCTATATTTAGGATTAGCTGCGAGCACTTAGATCTACAAAGACATATGGGTGAGTGGAGGTATAGCTCCACCATTCTTGACCTGAACATTAGATGAAGGTAAGTAATCAGCTTCACGCACCGGCCGCTTTATATCCGCAGAAATTGGCCCGGTACGCATTGATAGGGGTGACACCAGGGTCGGTCTAGGCGCTGTGGAAAAAGGAAATATTTTGCATTGTCGGGAATCGAATCCGGGCCGTCGAGCTTGCAGCCCCTAGCTGCTCCTAGAATGATTAATATCGTTGTTAACTTTAAAGCACACCAAAATTTTCAATATTATTTGATGGAATTAAGGCTTCAGAGAGTGTTACAACGAAGTGAGAAACACTGTCACGGTTTGTTATGCTTCATATTCTTGAGTTCTGTCTCACTTCGAGAACCGTGAAATGTAGCATTCTGAATACTGTATGGCTAAGAGCTCTTGAAGAAAGAGTGTTCCTAAGTTTGGCTGAACTATAAACCCCCATTTTTCTGTTTAACGCGAATGTCCATTCGGTATCGTGTTCACAAAAAGATCATTCATGATACATAATAAATTAACATTCTCAAAAAAAGGAAAAAAAAAACCTGAACCAGCAAAGTACGGAGAGAGAGACAATTCGAGAACTTAATGATCGGTGATTTGATGATAACTGCCTGGTCAGGATTGTTATATTGAACTTTGCGTAGAAATTATCTGTGAGAATAGAGTCGAAACTCAATTTGTATGCTTTGTTTTCATCTCGAAAACATTACATTCGTCTAAACGATATTTAAGAATGTAGTTCCTACCTCATAGAAAACACACAGTTTATCTTTGTTACAAAGCCACTGCTTAATGCTGTAGAGGTGAATAATTAAGTAGTCGGTACATTTTAGGGGTCGACGGCACAGGTTCAATTACCGGCAGAGGCAAGATTTTTTTTCTCCACAGGATTGAGCCCAGTTGTGGGGCCCACCAGCCTCCTATACAATAGGTTCATTCATTTATTCATTAATGGCTATGCAGCTCTTTGTTGGGCCCTGGCCGCTTCTCATTTTTCGTATTCATTTTTACACATACGTCAGGACTCCTTGGACGGGGGATCAGCCCGACCCAAGGTCGCTACTTAAAGAAACACAGAATAAACGCAGACAAACATCCATTCCTTGAGTGGGATTCGAGCCCACAATCACAGTGTTCGAGAGAGAGAAGACAGCTCATGTCTTAGACCGCGCGCCTTCTGTGATCGGCCCTAAAATATTGGTACACGGGGCGATTTCCAGGTGTGTGAAGCGGACGGAGCGTTAAGATGGCCTCTTACCTTCATCTAGTGTCGAGACCAAGAACGGTAGAACTGTCCTTCCATTCCTCCATAAGCCTTCAGGGCAGAGTTTTTATTAAACACAGGAAGAGATTGTTATAATCGCTGTTAATTTTGTGAGTTAAAGAACAGGAGGGTCTGGAGGTGATGCCCTGGGTTTGCGTTCAGGAGGTTCTCGGTTGGAATCTCGGTAGGGGCACCTGCTGTCCTGAGTGAGGATTTTCTGTTTTCTTCAGTCCTTCCAAGTAAATGAAGGGACTGTATCTCGCTTAGTCTAGGACAGTTACCTTCCAGCTCCTTCCCAATTCTTGTACCATTCTACAGTTTGATGCTGCATGATCTCGAAACTGTAAGCGTCGATACGTATCCCATGAGAAGTGAGTCGGAGGGTCACAAGAAATCAGTAAATATGTACATTCTGTAAGCCAAATAGAGGATCTCTAAATGTTAACACTGACGGTACGTGTAGTAATTACTGAAACCTTAAGGGACAGTAATGAAAGTGCTCATTGCTTTAACATTTAGTAGATTCGTAATTAGCCGATCGCAGTGGTCTCGCGGTCTGAGGCATGAACCGGCTCCGCCCGCTCGAACACTGGGATCGTGGGCTCGAATCCCACTCGAGTCATAGATATCTGTTTGCGTTTATTCTGTATGTAAATAGAGGCTTTGCGATGGGCTCATCCCCGTTCAAGAAGTCCTGCTGACTGTGTGTAGGATTAAGAAATTGAAAAATTGACCAAGTTCCAAAGGCTGTAGAGCGATAGAGACAGAGATTCATAAATGTGGAGTATAATTTTTGATGCGATTCGGATGTTATAATGCAAAATACTACACTATGCTTGTAAATTAGTAGTTTTTCTACTGTAACTCACAATAGATGTCAGTTATTGATTTTTGTTAAGTTTTTAATTACAGCAAAACTTCTCAGCGTATCATGGTCAAATTAATTTTAAAAAAGCTACGTCTGTACTGAGTTACATAAGCTATACTGATTTATAATTTATGATTATGAATTAGTTTTAAATTATATTGCAACAATTATAAACATATATATACAGAAGATACACGTATGAACACCTGTATTATATATATGTATGTATGTACTCATATGAAGGTAAGTGGGTAAAAGGGTAAGGTAAAATTTTCCCTGTGTTTGACTAATTACACACTACGCCATGAAGGCGTATGGGGGAGTGGATATATAAATCAACATTTTCTTGACCTTGGCACTAGATGGAGTTGATTGATTAGCTTCACGCCCCGGCCGCTTAACCCTCGGAGAAACAGACCCCGGTATCCATTGGATATGAGGCTGGGTAGGCCCCCACAACCGATCTGGACGACATGGAGAAGATTCTTACCCCTACCAGGACTCGAACTCCGATTCTTCGGTCGTCCAGCCTACAGCTAGAATGTACGTAGGTAGGTAGGTAGGCACACTACGTAAGCATAGCCTGTGTAGACCATAAATTAAAAAGATTTTAATATAAGACCCAAATTCTCACAATAGAGATATGAAGATTTATATTTTCTGTGATATAATGCAGCGTAGTCCGGTTAAAATTCAAACGACGTTTCGGAGGGACAAGTCGTCTTCAGCAGAGAGTAAGCAGAGTCACGCTTGCTACCTGCTTCATACTGGGATCTTACTTGACATATTTTTAATCCATGAAGGTGAAGATGAAAAGTTCTTCCGAAACTGCGGTTTAATTTCAAAAGTTTACACGTCGTTGTATCCGGAAGTTAGAACTCAGTATTGAACATGTATTTGGAAGAACTTATACCACGACGGCGAAAATTCATATTCTGTTTTTGATAAAATATGATATGGTAGGTGGAAACAGAAAGCTCATTACCGTGTTCAAAAGAGCCCTCCACAGGTCCCTGTCATCAGCCACATCGATCGAATCTATATCATCCCATCGTATCTCTGTAAGATCCATTTTAATATTGTCCACCCACCTACGTCTTCGTCTTCCTAGTGATCTCTTTCCTTCTGGCTTTCCCACAAATATCCTATATGCATTCCTTTCGTCCCCATTCGTGCTACATGCCCTACCATTCTAATCCTCCTTGACTTGTTCGTTCTAATTACACTTGGAATTATTATTATTATTATTTCACAACACAGAGACACACACTGCGTCTGCATTACAAATGCCAAATTGCTGTTCACATAAATAGGCTCAGTCTGTTTAAGGAAACACTCAAGTACAATCTGTGTGCAAAATGTATAGTTTTTAAAATACTGAAACAGTGTTTTAAAGAGTTAATTTTAATAAAATTTAAATTAATTTATAAGTTATACTTAAAGTAACCAACAGCGAGAGAAGCAAATTACCTGATACGTAAAATATTAAATTTGACAGTTTAGTGCAAAATGGTCATTATTTGTACCACGAGGATTAACGGTTAAAAAATCTATATTTCCCCCCAAAGGATATATTTGTTGGTTTCATACGGTTTCCACATTACAGAGCTTTTTTTTTTTTTTTAATTCGCTTAGTGGGGGTCGAGTCCAGTTTGCTCCACTCGGCACGGCGGCCACTGATTGGCATATTGTACCTGCCACGGGTGAATATGATGATGGAGAATTTGGTGGAATGAAGATTGACAGGCGAAACCGAAGTACTCGGAGAAAACCCGCCTCAGGGCCAGTTTGTCCACCACAAATCCCATTTAACCAGACCCGGGATCGAACCCGGGCCGCCATACACAGCTATTGTTTCCCTAATTATCATTAATCGATTATTGCTTCTAATGGAAAGAAAATATATTTTATGTAACGTATTAATTGAATTTTTAAATATTATTTATATGGATTTAATTCTTCGAAGTAATAATACTTCGAGTTCAGTGTTCTGCGATCGATTGGAAGTACTGTCAGATATTGTCTTTATATACTTCTGGAAACACGTCTTGAAATCCCTCCATATGCTACCCCCGCCCCCTTTTCTGTATGGCATGAAAATCGAGAGTTCCTAGGAGTCTGACATAACCCTCGGCGGGAAATGCCAAATCACCAGCGGCCTCGAGTGCGTGTAAATATCTTCAAGCTGTGATGTGTCAGTTCTTTATATCTCGGACCTTACGTGTATCTAATTAATATTTGAAAAATCTGTTCCTACTAATGGAATAATCAGTGTCTCCATTACAAATATCAGTTCTTAATGTTTGAGGAAACAACACATATTTATTCCGAAAATCAAACGAACACCACAAATAAACAGCACTAATGAATCCTCATGTTATTGGACATTAAAGCAAGCATAACTAAGTTATGCAGTAGGTTCTAATGCTAAAAATTTATTGGCTCTTGGATTGTACATGAGGACTGGTTCGTTCTATATGCAGATCAGAACCACACTAAGAGGATTTCCAGCGACCCTTCTTAAATTCTACCCTTACGTTCTCAAAATAATTATCAGCCACTTTGTAGTATTTAAATAACTTTCTTCTATAAACTCACAACAAATATTTCACGCATGTTGCAGGAATCTGATGTCTGGTCGACTTAAGTTAGCAGTTAATGAATGTCAGGCCGCGTGCGTGGGAGATTCCCGCATCTCACTGTCCAGCTGTGGTTACGCTCCCGAAACATGACGCGATACACTGAGATAACTCACCTCCTGGAAATCAGCCATCCCTTCTGCGATCGACAACCCCAGAAGTGTTCTTCCTTGGTTCACTCACATACACGCCTGTCCACCGAGGTCTATCCTCACGCTTAGAATGGCTTCGCGTCAACAATAGCACCTGTTCTTATTGGACTAGTTTTGAAATCACTTGAGGAAGCCTGGTTTCATCTACCCATGCGGCCGCAAGGGGATGTGACGTCACACGCAACCAATCGTAACCCAGCGCTTCGGTCCGTGGCCAATCATGTTATTGTAGTAGCCTCGTCTCTCTCTCACAACGTTACCTGTTGCACTGAAGAGACTGCGCTGTCTATGACAGTTCGAACCCTGAAACCTACAACTGAAACTTCAGTTTGCCTCAGCATCCAAGCCAGAATCCGAACACTAAATTAACTATCAGAATTTTTTAGCAAAAATTCTGTAAAAATTGAAAAATTGGCATTTCGAGTAGCACGCATGTGGACACAGGAAAATAAATCATCGCCTTGACTTGTAATGGTTATCTCCTCACGTTTTCTGGAATAGAAGAAACAAGGGTACATGCAGATTCTAAAGGGTTCTGATGGTGGTGCATAACACTCAGAACTACTGTTTTTTTGCCTTTTTTTTAATTCTCTTAGTGGAGGGTGGAGTCCAACTGGGTCCACTCAGCACGGCGGCCACTGATTTGCCTAGTGCAGCTTGCTCCGGGTGATTATGATAATGGAGAATTTGGTGGAATGAAGATTGACAGGGGAAACCGAAGTACTCGGAGAAAACCTGCCCCAGCGCCACTTTGTCCACCACAAATCTCACTTGACCAGACCCGGGACCGAACCCGGGCCGCCGCGGTGGGAAGCCAGCGACTAACCGCTTGAGCTATGGCGCGGCCTCTTTTGGGGCTTAGTCAATAGACCGGTATTCACATAAAATTTGAAAACACAGCACCTGAGGACGGAAAGAGATCCAGTTTCCGAAACGTTCGGTTTACTACTTTCTAGAATACCGGACGATGGACAAAGTCCAGAAACCCCAAAACTTTGCACAAGGATAAAGATTTTAAAACATGAATAATTTTCCATAGGAGACAGGACAAAATACATTTTTTTTTTTATAATTCATACTTTGATTCTATTCAGTTTAATTTTGGATATACAGCTCTTTGCCATAAGAAGCTAAATGCGTTTATAACCCGAAGATTTATAAAAATTTGAGATAGAACCATGAAAAACTAATGCGAAAAAATAGTTTTAATTTAAAAGCCTCACACGAATATGTATTTTTAAGTGTTTTCACGGGCCCTGAATATTCTTAATGTGGTGTCCTGAGTAATGAAATTTATTCTAGTAAGTGAAATTTTGAGGAACACACTACCTCCATCTTCAAGGTAAAGGTTGTGGAAATTTGTCGCTTGGGAGACCAAAGAGTATGCACTTCCTTAAGGATAATTTAAGATGTGACATGAAAAGCTTTAGTTGAATGGCCTTTGTGAAAAAAATTCGGCAATGAACATCTGAATCCATAAGAAGCAGCGAATTTCTGAACAGAGAAATTGGTAGTGAATTCAGAAGGAAGTTCTGACCTATAATGCTATTGTTTATCTCTTTGTTCTTTACATCATCCGTTTTATTTAAATATATGATATATTTAAGTGAAAGTGAATAGGCCCGTCTGTCGATAATCGACTGGCAAGGTGACTGATAAACAGAGAGTTTCCAAAGATATGAAAGTAACTGGGCGTGACCTAATTTGAACTGTATCTATCCACCCATCCACCCATCCATCCATCCATTCATCCACCCATCCATCCATCCATCCACCCATCCACCCACCCATCCACCCATCGACCCATCCATCCACCCATTCACCCATCCATCCACCCATCGACCCATCCATCCACCCATTCATCCATCCACCCATCCATCCATCCACCCATCATCCATCCATCCATCCACCCATCCATCCACCCATCCATCCATCCATCCACCCATCCACCCATCCATCCATTCATCCATCCATCCATCCATCCATCAACCCATCCACCCATCCATCCACCCACCCAACCACTCACCTATCTATCTATCTTTCCATCTGTTTGTCTGTGCCTCTACAGCCCTTTGTTGGGCCTTGGCCTCTTTTTCAGTTTCTGCTACCAACTGCTATACACAGTCGGTAGGACTCCTTGAACGGGGGATCAGCCCATCGCAAGGTCTCTACCTACACACAGAACAGCACAAACACAGAATAAAAACACACAGAAATTCATGCCTTGTGTGGGATTATCTCAGCGATTTAGCGGACAAAACCAGTTCATGTTTAGACTGCCCGGTCACTGTGATTGGCTAATTTGGAATCTTCCAGACTTACACCCCGAGGTTTACAAGAAACCCACGGAACTTCCTAGCCAAGAGAGGCTCTCTCGTGGCCGATATCTGAGCACTAAGATCTCCTGAATGCAGAGCAGTAATGTTACGCACTTAGTGGCGATGTCCCGTATGGGTACTCCACGCTACAGTGAGCGGGGACTGCACGCCTCTGCACAGAAGTGCGGGGTGGAATACGTTGACACGCAGTTCGTCGAGGTATTCACACTTACAGCGCAGAGTTGCAATCATGCACTGTTTTCTTCGTCAGTCCAAGCAAGGCAGAACAATGTTGGAAAATTCTAATCTAATCCAGCACCCACTAAACTCGATCCTTAAAAATTCCGCCATTACGTGTTATGACTAGAGCTGTGCTTAAGTAGTGTAGTTGGCTGAGGAACCATGCTACGAGCCGGAAGGTCACGGGTTCGATTCCCGATCAGTATATTGGATTTCTTAATTGACCTGATCCTTCCAGACGCAATACGGCACTGGGGTCAACTCTGTCTCTAACAGAAATGAATACTTCTAATCTTCCTGGGGGGGGGGTTAAAAGGTGGCCGGTACGTAAGGCCTGTCTTCTCCGTTGTTCTGCTCTAATGCTGAGGTATAGCTTCACCACATTTGACCTCTTCTCTAGACGTCAGTGTCAGGCTCCGACTACTTTACCCCCGAGGATCCGCAGGATCCCTCCTGCTCGTGAAAACAATTTATTTCGTTTTCCAGAAGAAAATTTATGCGTACAGTTTGGAAATATTGGGATCATTTGATTTTAATTTCAAACTTATTTCCATAATACGCCTATAGGAATAATGCAGTTTTAATTAACTAAACAGTGTCCCGGGATAGTTCAGTCGGTATAGAGACTGGCTACTTTTTGGACGGCCGGGGTTCGTTTCCTGACAGATATAAGAGAATTTCCTCTTTTCCACTCTGTCGAGACCGAGTTCGCGACCCACTCAGTGGATACCGAGGGCTCTTTCCTCGGGGAAAGTAGTCGATGTCTGACACTGACGTCTAGAGAAGAGGAAAAATGTGTGGAGCTATACCTCCACTTCCACGCGTGTATTCATGGCGCGGTGCTTCATTATTTCAGCAGAAATACAACTGTACATTTACCTTAATAACGTCAATTTCGGGCCCCCCTGGCAGTCGCAGGAGTTGCTAACTGTCGTCAAGTGGAGAGGTAAAAATAACTTTGATGTGAAAATATTTAATGTCAAATGTATAAAAGAAGAACGTAAAGTTAAAATTTCCGGATAGATTTCTTGGAGAAAACTGGGTATTAATGTACATCTTCAAGCTTTAATATAGCTTAGGAAACTATTTCCTGGAGCGTCAGAATATTAGCCCAAAAGAGTACTTATGTTGTGAGCTAAGGGAACCTGGAGTAAGACTGGGAATTAGGTTGCATACACGACTGAATTCAAATGTAGGTGTGACGAATAACACATCACAAGAGATAGCTGTGATGCTCAACGCTAAGTGGTGACAGCAAAAGTTATTGTAATTACTTGAAATTTGTTGAACATGCCATGACAAAGAGAGAAGTGGGTACAAGTATTATCTGCACTAATATTTAATATCTCGAATCCGTGGAAAAATATGACATTATATTAACTTATTAATTGATACTTTTGAACACACATCTTTTAGTTATTAGAATGGGTAAGCTGCATTCCGGAAGGTCGCGGGTTCGAGTCCAGATGAGGTGGATTTTCTACAATTTACTTAATCCTTCCAGCCGCAATATGGCCCTGGGGTCAATTCAGCCTGTAACAGAAATGAATACCACGAATTTTCCTGAAGATACAGTACGGCCGGCGTGTATGGCTGACAACTTCACCGCCATCTATGAGCCAAATGTCTAAAAAATGTAGGAGCCTCGACGTCTCACAGTTCTATGGGTCTCCACGGTGTGTTACAGGGATAACTTTACTCTTTTTTACCTTTTAACGTAGACAAAATCTTTTAATATGTAAATAATTTCAATACAATTTTCCTTTAATGCGTTTTTTCATGAATGTATGAAAGCAGGAGACTTGTTTCTTCTGGCTTTCTTAAGTATAGGAAAATTACAATAAATATTAAGTTTTGGAACTGAGGTCTTTTCTTCGAATCATGTCGGAGTAATTCCATCACCACTATTGTCTCATTTCGTATAACTTTTGGAAGTCTTGTTCGCAGCTTAATATTATTAAGAAAATTAATTTCCTACCTCACAGAAAACACATTAAGTCTCTATTACAAATTGCGAACTGATTAATTATGTTTAGGAAGTAACAACAAGTTATTCTAAAAGTCATAATAAAGTATTTTGTCTGTGGTTTTGTATGGGTGTGAAACTTGCTTTCTGACATGAAGAGAGGAACATAAACTGAGGGTATTTGAGAACAGGGTGTTAAGGAGAATATTTGGACCGAAGAGAGATGAAGTGACAGGAGGTTGGAGAAAACTGCATAATGAGGAGCTTCATAACTTGTACTCTTCTCCAAGTATAATTAGAATGATCAAGTCAAGGAGGATTAGATGGGCAGGTCATGTAGCGCAAATGGGTACGAAGAAGAATGCATATAGGATATTGGTGGGAAAGCCAAAATAGACCACAGGGAAGACCAAGGCCTAGGTGGGTGGACAATATTAGAATGGATCTTAGAGAGATAGGATGGGGTGGTATGGATTGGATAGATCTGGCTCAGGATAGGGACCAGTGAACACGGTGATGAACGTTCGGGTTCCATAAAAAATGCTGGGAAATTCTTGAGTAGCTGCAGAATTGGCAGCTCCTCCAGAAG